GGGGGGGAGCGGCGGACAGACAGCCAGACAGTAGTCGTGGGTCCGAGACGACGGAGGGCTTTTTCCTCGTCCAATCTGTCCGTGGGAGCCCTCGACAGGGTGCGGCGGGCGAGGGTCCTGGTGGTAGGGCCCCACCCCGGCCTCTGGTGCCGCCACGCCGCCAGGGCCTCGGCCAGGGCCAAGAGGGGCCGCCGCCTCCGCACCGCGCACCGCCGCCCAGGCGCCCCTTTTAACGAGTTGCCTCATTGCCAAGCTTCGCCCCGCACCGCACCGCCCCCGCATTTGCCCCCGACCGCACCTGCAGCCACAGAAGCCCACGGCAGCAGCACCCCGACACCGACCGGACCACGACGGCCGAGTAACGCAGCACCATGGTTTTCGCGTAAACCAATCAGGGCGGTAATCTAATCATTTTTGCTGCTCAAAAAGAAACGACGCGTACATCAATTTGTTCCTGTTTGTTGTTGTTGTTGTTGTTGTTGTTGTTGTTGTTGTTGTTGCTGTTGCTGGTTTGGGGGCACGGTATTGCATTTTTCGATTTAGATGATATGGGCCGCTCCTGTTTTTTTGGTCTTTCCCTGCCCAAAATTGAAATCAAATCGCCACACACACCGCCGCACTGCAACCCAAACTACAGCCCATTAGCTATTAGCACAATAGCGGCGGGCCGAGCGGGGCGCTCTATTCGCGGCGTGTTTGTGCAGGGAATAATCAAGTACCCAATCACAGCGGCGGTGCTCGCCATATGTGATAGAGGCAGTAAAAGGCCAACGCCAAAAAAAGTTGGCAAACTTGACCAGCTAAAATCCCGCAGCACCTGCGAATGATAAATGCCCCTTCCACCACGAAAAAGGGGGGGGGGGAGGGTTACCTCCGGCTGGCCCCCTACAGCACGGCGACGTGAAGGGCCCGGCCTGGGCTTGACGTGAAGAGCGATGTCGTCATGCCTGGAAGGCCAGCCGAGCCTAAGGGCCTAAGGGTGTGGCGGGGGCGGCGCGGGGCGGTGCAGAGCAGGGCGGGGGCTGTGTGTGTGCGTTGCATTGCCCATGTCATACGAGGCGGAGTGAGTGGGTAAGGGACGGGTGGGGTGAGGGGAGCGTTGGGGTATTATAAAGTCAGATTATGACGTTAGGCCGACTGGCAGCTAGTGCTGGCGCACCCCGCACGCAGCAATGCTGCTGGGGGGTAGGGGGAGGGGTAGGGGCATTAGAGGGCGGTGAGATACAGCCGGCTGGCCAGGTGGAGTGGAGATACTCCGCGCCACAATGCACTTTATACGTGCCGAGGCCGAGTCAAGTGGCGCGGGCGCGGAGTATCTCCTTTTGTTGAGCGATAGCACAATGGATTTTTAAGTGCCATGCGCGCCGCTCACTGGCTGGCTGCTGCTGCTGCTCTACGCCGTATTGCCGCTGTGACCCAGAAAAGCGCGCATGTGCGATATATACCGGGGGCGCGATGGCAGAGAGGTGGGGAGAAGAAGAAGAAGAAGAAGAAGAAGAAGAAGAAGAAGAAGAAGAAGAAGAAGAAGAAGAAGAAGAAGAAGAAGAAAGGTATGGGGGCAATGCCCGGGCCGAAACAAGCAGCCCACACAGCCGACGCCGCCTACGCCACACAAAATTCATTACTCTCCATTTGTCTTTCTTTCTGGGGTTTCACACAAACCGGCGGTGTTTGTATCTGCCCCCAAAAAAAGAAACGGAGCAAAATTACAAAAGATCGCGGCTCATTCGACCAAAACAGTTTTTTTTTTACTCAATTAACATTTTTGTTTTATTTTTTGGTAGAGAGCAGAGCGATGTAGGGGATCATGGGGATGCGACGGGTGAAGGCGGAGAGGGCGGCAGAGGCGGGGTTGCAAATAAGCGATATAGCGGAAGGGATGCTGCGGATCATAATTGTTTGCGGTGCGCCTGGCGCGGGCTGGCGCGGGCGGGCCGCACCCACCACAGGGGCCATCACTGCCAGCCCACGCCAGTTTAAGTGGCGAGCTGACCTTGACCCAGTTCCTCGCACGCTCCGGGCGGCCAGTAAACTTTGCACTCCTCACTCAGTCGATCCCTTCATCTCCTCTCTCTCCCCCTTCCGGCCGCCCGCCCCTACACACCCCACCCCACCCTCCCCGCAGTTTGCATCGCCCCGTATATACCCAGCCCGCACGGAGGGGTTCGCTCACCTGAAACTTGTCGTGGTGCAGATTCAGGAACCTTCTTACTTTGGCGGTGTCGTTGTCGCGAATAGCTTTCTCTAGTTGTAGAGCGTCTGCGGTGAGGTCCGCGGTCGAAGACGCCAGGCTGGAACAGAGAAAGCAGGTTTATTGGTTTATCAATCAGAAAAGAAGTCTCGGTCCTTCCTTGCACCCCCCCCATTCCCTTTTTCCTGCTTCCCCGCCTTACAACGGGGCTGATTTGGACTGCCCCCATATCTCCCTTTCAAATCCGAAGCTCGCGCACAAAAGAACAAAACAAGTCCTCCGCAGAGTCAGCGTCTGTATTTCAACTCCTCCGACATAATCGCAAGGGACCGACAGTGAGTAGGATGAAGTGGAGAAAAATCTTACTCTTACCTTACCTTTCTCAGAGATAAGCCAAATCGTCAATGGAACCAGGACGGGTCCAAATCACCTCCCCAAAAACAGATATTGGAAATATTCTTTGGCTTATTCTGTAAACAAGATGCTTTTGTGGTCAAGATATACGCGCCATTTACTTTCACGAGCTTAATATATATACACAAGATCCGATGTAATTTCCTCGTAAAATTGGCACGACTTTTCCTCATAAAGCTCCTTTCACGAGCCTGGCTTTTATACACTCCGATATTTTTGTGGCCTCCGCGGCGGTACGTGTTGGCGCTATGAGCCCAACGGCCCCTCGGTGCTCCCCGCTGGGCCTAGTCCCCTCCCACCCCGCTTCACTAAACCCCGTACCGGCCACACCCAGGGACACGACAGGACCACCCAAATGAAATTTGCCACCGATGCGATTTGGACGCAATCCTGGCGAAGCCACCGCCGAGAGGTCAGCAGAGGACTGCCGAGGGAGTACACAGAAACAAGATACTTACGGTCGGGGTGGTAATAAATTTAAGAGGACTTTCTTTAGAATTTGACAAAGATGCCAAACATCCGAGTCTGTGTATTACAAAATTGTGATTGAGTTTTGTTTTCGGTGCGGCTTATATTTTCTTTCGTAAAGGGTTACACGGGAAAATCTTTCGTAAAAAAGACCCGTTGAAGTCACCGAGTTTAACACGTTCAGTGCGGCATGACCACCACGTTATCACGCATTGCTAGGTTTTCCAGCCCCCAAGCCCAAGATGCTCACCCGCAAATTAAAATCGCCCCAGTTCAAAAATTTACAGAATCATTTGCAAATCGAGAATATTTGTCATAGATTTTCAAACAGTATATTGTTTACAGTGGTCTTAGTTTTCCTTTTGTTTCCATGGAAACCTGGTTGTATGTCGTTTGCGGCACTAAGCCCCCAAGTCAAAAGGGTTGACTGTCGATTGCGGCAGGGCCAAGGTGCGGATTGTCGTTTGCGGAGAGCGCTGGGAAAGCCTCTGACTGATGGAAGCGATTAGATTAAATTGCTACGATTTCGGTTATTGTATCAAAATTTAAGACCTGAGCAGTCGTGTTGCTTTTTGCTAATTCCTCTCCTCACCAGCTAGTCCTGCTCCCTGGTAACCCTCCCTTCCTCCCTGTCTCTCTCCCCGTGACCCTAAATTCGATGAAACCCGCGCGCACGCCAGCCGCACCGGTCCGATCCGCTCTGGTCAGCTCCGGTCACTGGGCCAAGCCTCCTTCGTTCAATATCCCGCCGCCCCGCCCCGCCGCGGCGCTGTCACTGGAGGACATGGGGCCCCTAACCGGATTCGCTGACCGACAGTGGCTTCCCTTCTTCCCCTCGGGGCTGTCTATCACATTCTTGAATCTCACAAGGATACAGCGACACAGCCCCCTTCAATACTTGTCACACCGGGGCGCGCGATGTTGGTGCGTGGAAATGGCAAATACAATGTATATAATATAGACGGGACGCGCGCGACGAGCGGCATCCGAACGGAATGGTATTCGGGGGCGGGCAACGTTATTGTGCACGCAATACAGTCACAATGCGAGCAGGCCGAAGAAAACGGAGGGGAAGGAAGAGGGGCGGTAGTGCTGGCGGTGCTGGCAGTACTGGCTGTGCCGGCCGTGCTAGCTGAGCTAGCCGAGCTTGCTGTGCTATCCGAGCTAGATTTGCTATCCTAGCTAGCTGTATGCTAACCGTGCTAGCCGAGATAGCTGAGCTAACTGTACTAGTCTATCTAGCTTTGCTAGCCTAGTTGGCTGTTCTGGCGGTGCCATTTGTGCTAGCGGCTGGCTGGGTGGGCCACAGCGGGCGTATGCGGCACGAGCACAAGGGGTTCATGTAACAGCCAGCACAGCAGCCACGACGATTTCAAAAGAGGCCGCAGCACGCTGTGTTTGGGCAGAAAGGACGGGGGTGAGGGGAAAGGAAGGGGCTGGGGGGCACTGCGTGCAATATTTCACCATCGTCATACTAACAATGGGATTAATCTTCTCTGTCCTGTATTGACAGAACTCACTGCTGTTCTCGCTGCTGCTCCATTGTGGAGTGGCTGGGCTGGGGCGAACTCTTTGGCCTATCCGCACGCGTCGTGTGACAGCGGTACGCAGTGCGCTTCTCGCGCCGCCCTTATTGGGGGATCCGACTCATTGCACTGTTTCACTGAACTGAACGATTATCCCGAATCGAATTTAAACACTAATGGCTGATTCAGCGACGGTCAGAAAGGGTACGTTTTCAATTGAAAGCGCTGACTTTGCATTCCGGCATTCGCAATTCACACGTACTCTGCTTGAGCCCGAACTGAAATTCCCTCAGAAAGGCACATTCAAACGGCGAAATAAATCACGTTGTTTTCCCATTCCAAACGCGTTTCAATGGCAACAAATCCCGTTGCCTGGGTAGTTGACAGCTCACGTTTTGTTCCTTAAGGCAGTGCGCAAGTTGTTTTTAGCTCCACGGCATAGAGGCGGGTGCTTTCGGAGGTGGTACTTTTTTCCCCTATTGAGAAAACGGCGGGCAAAGAAGATGGATGCAACCAAACCAGGCGAGCAGCTAGCTAGCTACCATAGTAGGATAGCAGGCGGGGAGCCCGACAGTTCCGGTGGGGCTGCGGGCACGGCCGGCACACACGCGGGGCTCGAGACAGGCGGATATATGGCGGGGCGCAAAAGAAACTAAGGGCCGGCAGCATCAGGCAACACACCGTGTCAGCTTTGCTCGCTGCTTTGAGCCCGGCCTGAACCCTCCCGTGGCTGCCCCTATAACTCAGGCCAGGCATAAAGAGCTGAGAGATCCCCCGCGACGCGTTGTGGCGGCAGGGCTGTGCGATATCTCGATATCGATATCTGATGTATTGGGGTTTCGATAAATTTCGTCAACATATGCGACGCTTAACACCACAATATTTTGCAAAATATCTCAAAACATTTTGAGATATTTTGCAAAATATCTCAAAACATTTTGAGACATATCTGTTTTCATAACACGGTGTAGGTCGATATTATCGAGATTCGATGGAACGAGTCAATGTTCAAAGTTTGGTCGACCTCGAACAGTCCTAGCTGGGCGAGCGTAGCAACAAAGGCCCAAAATTAGGCTGCGACGGTCAGCCAGGATCCTGGTCAGGCCAGTTTTTGCCTCAAACGAACTATTATTGTCATCACAGAAAACTACCGTACCATGGTTATTTATTACAACCTCATATTTTACAGAGAGGACCCGTCGAAAAGAAGCGGCAAGAAGAAAGGAGGACGCAACACTTTTTGTACGGAGCAGTTGTAGCACGTTAGATGTGTAAAATAATTTTGTTTCCACGACACTCGTTTATTTTCTTCAACTTCAAATTCCCAAAAGTTTCAACGGCTAGACTTTGGAGGTGAAGCAAGACGGGGGCCGACCACACACGGCTATCCAAGCCAAGCTTTACATCTGCAGCAGCAGCAGCAGTCTCCCCCCCCCCCCCCCCCCCCCATGGCCTTTCCCTTTTGCCTCGCCAGAGGACTCCTATGGGAGCGGAACGACTTGCATGCCGCAAGGGTGGTAACAGGCGGGGAAAGGGGGGTCTTATTTGAGCAGGGACGGGGGCAAGGGGGTAGCAAGGGGGTGGGGGAAAGTCCAGTAATTCCAAGTTTTCCAAGTTTGTGTAGATTTCTGAGTCCGCCGTTAGGAGCCGGGCGCCACGGATAGCAGTCCCCAGCAGCCCTGGGCGCTGCTATGCCACCACCACCGCTGCTGCTGCCGGCCGCAGCTTTGAACAGACAGAAATGACCTGATAACGGCCGGCCAGGGAGCCTGACCTGGCGGCCAGGGACCCACCGGATGGTTTATGCTCTCTGTGTATCCACCTCCCTCTCACTCCCCCGTCTATCTTTCCACCTCTCTCCCTCTCCATCTCTCTCTCTCTCTCTCTCTCTC